TCCGTTTTCAGCGCCGCAGGCGAAAATTTTGATAATTTTTACAAAATCTACAATATTTTTAAGTCAAAAATCAAAACGCCAAGCAAAAATATTTAAAATTAGCCGCTAGAATTTTTCCCGGTTTCCCGGTCCAAAAAAAGCCGGGATCGGGAGCGGGAAACGGGAAATGAAAATTAACCGGCCGGGACCCGGACCGGGAAAACCGGGAATTCCCGTTCCCGGTTTCATCCCGGCATCTTCAAAAAAGCCGGGAAAAAGGACCGGGAAACCGGGAAACGGGACCGGGTCCCGATCCCGTTCCGATCTCTAGTATAGATCTATAGTATAGTATGTACATATTTGTATTCTTTTGTGTAAATTTAAAATTTAAATTTAAAAAATTTAAAATTTTTAATAAAAAAATGGATGGCAGGTTTGGTGTATGGAATTCTCATCTCTCAAACTTTTCTTTTTAGATAGGCTATATTAAATTTTAATTTCATACTTTTCTAAAAGCCATTTTAAATCTGCTACAAGAAATCTTTATATCGAAAAATTTTGCTTGGATGTTATTCAGAGTTTAATTCCCTAGGCATCACGGACATAAAATTTGCCCTTAAATCTACCTTTAGTGCACCTTTAAAATTCAATCCAATACAACCCAAAAAAAAATTTCCATAAATTTTCCGAAAGATGTAAATTGGTGGTTTTATAGCAGACTTAAAGGGCTTTCAGAAAAGTATAAAATAAAAATTTACTACAGCCTATAAGGAGTCGAAAATATTTTTAATAGACATTTACTAATACAAGGGGAAACGAATATAAATTTTATATTCCATCAGATCCAATCGTTCAGGCATAATTACTTTATGTTAGAACAATTAGTTACCAATAGCAATCCGTAAATTTCAGAATCAAAAATATTCAAAACTCATCTTTATCAATTATGTAGATCTCAACCAGTGATGCAAAAGTTCCAGTTCCAATTCCGGAACTGGGACCGTGGAACCGGCAAAGGTCTGGAACAGGTTTGGAACTGGAACGCCAAAATTAAAAAATCAGTTCTGGAACTGGAACCACCAGGATTTAAAAACCGGTTCCAGAAATGGAACCGGTTCCAGAGAAATTTTGGAACTTTTGCATCACTGATTTCAACCCAAATTTATTACATTTTATATATTAGATAAATATTCAAGATATTTACCAAAATTTAAATTTTGTATTGAAATTAAAATTTATCAATTTTTATCAAATATTTTAAAAATCATTAATTAAAATTTTCCATAATTTATTTAATTCTTCCCCAAATATTTTTAATTCTCTTTTAAATTTAATTTTAGCTTCATTCTTTTAAACGCAATACCATCCACTTTCTTTAGTACATTTTCCTTTACAGCAATCATAAGCACCTCTGTCTGGATCACATTTCCTTTCATAACCAGGAGCATTCTTAATACATGCCTGGATTTCCTCAAAATATAAAAAAGTTGAGAGAAAAATAACAAAAATTGTTATTAAAAATATTTTGTTGGAATTGAAGAAGAAGGACATTTTTTAAATAAAAAATTTATATATTATTTTTGTAATCTGCTAAAAAAATATTTTAAAATAAAAAAATTTTTTTAATGGTTTTTAATGTTTAAATTAGGGTTGTTGGCAACCGGTTTTAAAATCGGAATTTTTGAATTTTTTTTGGCAAAAAATTTTCAAAAAATCCGGAAATTTGTGAAGATGAGTGATTTTATTTAAAAATTCTCCCAAAAATAAACCGGTATTTGCCTAAAACTAAAACCGAAAACCGGGTTTCTAAAATTTGGATTACCCGAAAACCGGGAATACCGGTTAATAACCGGTCGCCAACAACCCTAGTTTGAAACTAAAAAATATTTTAAAATTTTATAAAAAAATATTTTAAAATGATTTTTAATGTTTAAATAAAATTTTGTTTAATTTTTAAAATAAAATATATTAAATGATGAATCTTAGATTAAAATACACAACAATATATAACAAAGTTGGCGATTTAATGAATTAAATATTTGACAAACAAATTTTTATATTTTTTATTTTGGGGTTTTTATTACATTTTATTTTCTTTATATTTTTAAACAAGCAAAAATAAAGAACGCTTTTTCAGTTAAATGTTGGCAAAAACAAAAAAGTGTACCAAAAATATATTTTGTTGATTTTTAGGCTGACAAAAATTAATAACAAAAATCTTTTTTTATTATTTTGTTTGTGTAAATTTTATGTGGCTTTTGTGTAAATTTAGAATAATAAAATTTAAAAAATAAAGAAAAATTATTAATAAAATAAAATAAACAAAAAAGGATTGAAGGATTGGCGGTTTTTGGTGATTAGAAATATTCGACAATAAAGAAAAAAATATTTTTTGTTGACCCGATGGGTGGTAGTTATTTTCAGACTTGCGTCAGTGTTCGGCACCAGACATCTATGCCTCCACAATCTTAGCTGCGCTCCACTCTCGGCTCAACTACATAGTCATTACTACCTATAATTGAGCCGATACCATCTCCGAATTGTCTAAAAAATATGCCAATCGACACTGATTAATGAACAATTGATTGCTAGAAATGAAGATGGAATAATTGGGGGAAAACAAGAAATTGAAAAAGTTCCTCAGATGTATTGTAGAAGGCTTCTGGGATAAATATTTTATCATTTGTCCCATTTTTTATTTATAACTTAATATCTGTTTATTGGCTATTAAGAGTTCCAACATTAGAAGGCCAAGAATATGAATAGCTTATACATATATTATCGACACCAATATCCACCACCAACAAAATAGAGGTGATACGGCCGGTTTTATGGATACGGCCGGTTTTTTAGTCAAACTACAACATTATTTAATAAACAAACACAAAAACTTTATGACATTTTTATTCAAAATAAAATAAATTAAATGAAATAAACATTCCTTTAATAAAAATTTGAGGTTTAAAATATGAATCCATTCCATTTAGGGATATTCTAAAATTTTTAAAAGCTTTTTTAGCTTCTTTTGTGGCATCTTGACATTGCAAAATCTTCAGTTGCAGCGCCATAAAATCAAAAATTTCGGCCAGTCGGCAATAATCAACAAAAAAATCAAATTTATTTAAACAATTTCTCACAAACATTGCTTGGAAGACAATTTCCGTGTCTGTAGAACTTGTTTATTTAATTAAAGAAATAATAAATTATGACTAAAATATTCGTGAATTTAATTCAAATATTTAATTAATTGTTTAAATTCCAATAAAAAATACAAAAAGATTTTTTTTAAATATTTTTATTTAAAAACTTTTTATATTATTCGATGAAGTTAATTTTATTTGTTCATCATTCTTTAAAATTTTGTTAACAAATTATTTCCTCGTTTTTATTTTAGAAATATAAATAAATAACTATTGTCTAAATTAATTTTAAATTGATATTTAATGGATTTTGATTATATTTAATAGACATAAATATTTCCTTGTTTTTATTAATCAAGGAAATTAATTTAAAAAATAAAATTAAAGAAATAAATATATTTAAGTAATATAAAAGAATAAAAATAATTAAATAATATATTTTAATTTATTTAATTTTTAAATTTTTATTTTAAACCTTCGAATAAATAGGAGGGGAGACAACCACTGTGTGTGTAATTTATTTATTAATAATTTAAAGAGCCGCCTCGATTTGTCGATTTATATCTAAAACTTTTGCCAATCTTTAATTAATTCAATTACACTAAACCCTAAATTACCATGCCACAATCTAGAAGAATCCTTAATAGAAAAGCCACAAAATTTCTCAAATTGTTTCGGTGTAGAATTTTCTAAATTTTAAGATCGGCCGAAGGATCGGTTGATATTAGATATAAAATATCGAAAAATACCAAATGTCGAAAATTATTGAATAACTCGACATTTTCTGAGTGCGATATTTTTTCGAAAATAGCGAAAAACATAGAAAAATATCGAAAAAATCGTATCGAGCCGAACTCTAATAAATATACCTGTGTAGTTAAATGTTAATCATTCATCTTTAATTAATTAGATATTTTATTTTTTTTTAGATTTTTGTGTCTTTGATTAATACAATTTAATTAAAGATTGTGCCAAATTAATTTTTGAAAACTTATTTTAATCCACTTATAGTTCTCCATCCTTTAGAGAATTAAAAATTGTAGACTATAATAAATTGCACATTAAAATGCTTCGACATTTCCCTCCCAATTAGTTACCAACCGCATTAAAAAAATACAAAAACTTAGTTGAATAACTAGATTCAATTGCATAAAAATGAATAATATATAAACTTTTTGACTAATAATTTGAATTAAATAAAAAAATTCAGACAAAATATTTAAATGTTATTTCTTGCTAAAAATTACTTCCTTATTCTAAAAAGGATAACATTTAATAATTTAAATAACCTCCCCCTCCTACACAAATAATTTTAAAAAATTTTATTCGTATATAAAGGGTAGGCAATAATTAAAGAATTACATAGTACATATTTAAAAGTTTAACCAAAAATAATTCTAGATTAGGGTTGCCGGTTCTGGACCGAACCGAAGAACCGATGATTTTTCGGTTGGGGTTCTTCGGTTCGGTTTCGGATATCAGAAGATTTTCGGTTCCGTTCTTCGTTCGTTTTCGGATATCCAAAGATTTTCCAAGAACCAACAACCCTATTCAAGATTTTATGCCAATATTTTAATTTGTTCGGCTACTTGGGGGATAAACAATAAATACCCACGAAAATACCTATAATTCATTTACATCTCGATTTTTAATATATTTTTTTATATTTCTCCTCCAAGACCTAAAATTTAATACATTTCAGTTCTTTTTCCAGATAATTTTTCAGCCCCAAGAATCGGTTGAAATTCTGTATTCTAGAAAAAATAAGCTTTAATATTTGTACTTAATTTTCCTAATTCTTTTCTTCTAAATTTCCAAACAAAAAATATAATTATTTATTTTTTAAATTTAAGGGTATCATCAAAATAAATAATAATTAAAATGTCTTATTTATTTTTAATTTCCTTAATAATTTTTATTTTAAATACTTCTTTTGTTTTATCCCAAGAACCAATATCGTTAAGAAAGGAATTACCGGAAGAACGCTTAACTGTGGTCAGATAGGATTTAAAAAAAATTTTTTTAATTTAAAAAACAGCCAGGAATAATTAAATATTATGGATATACTTGCGAAATACACAAAGTTATAACGGAAGATGGATATATTTTGGAAATGCATAGAATCCCTTTTGGCCGTAATTTTAATGAAACAGAACAGAAAAAACCTAGAAAAGTAGTTTTTGCTCAACACGGATTGTTGTCCTCTAGTTTTGATTGGGTAAGGGTTTGCTTGTTTGGAATATACTAAAGGAACTTGACCTTCCAGAACATAATTTCTGGACACCAATCTCTTCCCATTATTTTTAATTTTTCTTCATAAGTTCCCCTTCCATAATACACCTACCCATCTATATTTACAAACCCCTCCCTTTTTACATTAAAAGAAACCCATAAATCGTAATATAGAAAGAGTTTAGCAAGGTCAAGCCACCGGGCTGGATTCGAACCTGCGACAACGCTGACAGTCAGCCTGTCTCAAACAAATACAGGTGCTCTAACGCTGAGCTACCGGTGCATCGACTACGTTCTTTTATCCTTTTAGATCCTTTAATCCCTGCCTAGGTGAATCGTCCTTACAATATAACCCGTCTTAAAATCTAAAAGTATAGTTGGACTTTCTTGTAAATTACTCTCATAAATATTTTTCTTCGAGGAGGATGAGTTCCACCAACTATTCACAAATAATTCAACCCTCTTTATATTCTCTATTTAATAATTTACCTATAAATAGGTATCCAATTTGCCTCATCAATCGCTAGCATTTTTGTTGGCAGATGCTGGATTTGATGTTTGGATGGGAAATATGAGAGGCAATCTTTACTCGAAAGATCACGAAAAACTTTCTCGACTAGATGATAAATATTGGGATTTTACTTGGGACAAAATGTCCTCCATAGATTTGCCAGCAATGATAAATAAAGCTTTGGAAGTTAGTGGACAGTCAAAATTATATTATGTTGGACACAGTCAAGGAACTTTAATTATGTTTGCGCAGTTGTCTAATAACAATCGAGAATTTGTTGATAAAGTTTTTTTGTTAATTAATCCCCTCCCCCCTTTATTTTCTTGTTAATAGATTAGCAGATTTTATGCATTAGCACCTGTTGCCACAATAAAATACATTAAAGGATTAATTGATATATCAGGCAAATTGTTTGGTATTCAACTTGAAATTCTGAATAGACATTTTGGTTCAAATGAATTTCTTCCAAGTAATTTTATAACACAACAAATTGCCCGAACCCTTTGCGGTGCAAATTGGCAAAAACCAAATTGTAAAAATATTATGTTTTTAATTGGCGGGACTGATAGTAAACAGATGAATCAGGTATTGATATTTGGAGGAATATATACCTAAATAGAGAAGGTCTTGCTTTACATGACAGGGTTGCTCCCCGACGGGGGGAGGGCCACGGGGATAAATTTTCGTGGAGGCAGCGCCACGGGAGGAGGCAGCGCCACAACTCTAATGACAATAGAAATAAATTTCGGATAGGATTTCGGATCGGGCTTTCGAAAATTTCTTGGATCATCTATCGGATTTCGGATAACACAGCCCATCACTGCAGTAAAGCTGTGCTATGTCAATTTATTTTTTTCCACTAAAAACTGCAAATTTTTAACATTTAAAGACTCGTGTAACAGTTTACACAACACATGCACCTGCAGGAACTTCAACAAGAAATATTGCTCATTGGGTAATTAAATAAAATTAATTCTTAAAAATATATTTAAAAATACCAGGCTCAAATGCATCATTCTGGTTTAATGCAAAAATTTAATTACGGGTCAAGAAGGGCAAATCAAAAACATTATGGACAAGTAAAAAATGAAATTTACTAATTAAAAAAACATAGTCAGACCTCACTTATTTGTACACTTCGAAAAAAGGATATCCTGATGTAATCCCCGGATGTCCAATTTAAAAATTATTTATGAATAGGTATCGAGTATTTTCGGATTTGGATATCCGGGGATTCCCCAGAATCCACCAACCTTAGTGTACACCCTTGGGGTTGAAAAAGCTTGCAGTATGCTGAGGAGTGTTGGGGTATCGTTTAGCCCTTAGATAACCCGTACTCACCCAGATTAATTAAAAAGTTTACTTAAAAGTGAAGGTTTGATCCACAGATCCACAGATTTGAGATTTGGGATCGCTCTTATTTATTATTTATTCAGAATACACCACCAATCTACAATTTAACTAATATAGCAGATATTCCCATTTATTTGTATTATAGTGAAGCAGATTGGTTAGCAACTAAAAAAGATGTTGAGGTACTGGAAAATAAAATATTGAAAGATAATTAATTTTTTAAATTTAAAGGAAACAATTCTTCAACAAATTCCCCAAGAAAATATTAAATTAGCAAATGAGTTACCCAATTTTAACCATTTAGATTTTATTTGGGGGCAGGATGCAGCAGAGGAAATTTATGGGAAAATTATTAAAGAAATTAGTGAAGAAGATTAAATTAATTAAAATATTTGTGGAAAAAAAAAGAAAAATAATTATTGTAATATATTTATAATTAATTAAGCAAATAAAATATACATTCAATAAATTTTTATATTATTAAAATTATCAAATATATTTAGAAAAATTTTTAAAAATATTTTTTTAATTTAGTACATAAATTAATTTTCCAGAGTTCTGTGAAATTCAAAAAAAAATTTTTAATAGCATATACACACACATACTCCAATTTAGCCTCCAATAGACTTTTATCCGTCCAATGAAAGTTTATGAGTACAATGAAACTTTATGCGTCCAGTCAAAGAGTAATTGGATTTTCCTTAATAATGCCTGGACCGAACCGAAAAACCGAGGATTTGTCGGTTCGGGTAAGTTTCGGGCAGGGTGGCCTTTTTACCCTATTTCTAGAGGATTTTCCCTATTTTTGATCTTTTCGCCCTATTTTTTCCCCATTTTTGAGTGGCTGCGCCCCATTTTAGTGGTTTGGAAAAGGCCACCCTGGTTTCGGATATCCGAGGAATTTCCAGGAACCGACAACGTTATCACTAATATGTTTAGGCTCATAAAACTATTGATTTGACTCATAAACTTCGAATGGACTAATAAACTTTCATTGTTTATTTTGTTAAAAACATTTGAATTTTTAACGTTGATAGAGGATTCTAATTCAGTTTGCAAAAAATACCGTAAATGCTAAAAAACAAATACAGTAAATTCTTTAATAGGACCAGCATTGAAAAAATAGAAAATAAAAGCATTGAAAAATAAAAGCACCCTCACTAATTAAGTAAGAGAAAATGTGGTTTACTAGAGGATTGGAAATCAAATGTGATATTAAATAAAATAAATAAATATTAAAATAATTTTATTTCATTCATTTACGTCAGCAAGATTATATTATATTATGCATTTGTTAAGCCGTCTTCACGAACTCTAATAAATCCTTGTATATTTTTGGCTCGTGGTGGCTCGGAATTTTTGGCTTTTGGCTTCCATTTTTAGTTTTAGCCAGTTTTTAATCTATAAAAAAGATTTTATTTTGTTTAGAATCTTTGAGACCCATTGGGCGTACGTCCCGAACATGAAGAAATGTTTTGGAACCGTACCCCTACTTTGCAATACCAAGAAAAATCCAATTATTCTTTCATTGGACTCATAAACTGGAGCAGAGCCATACATATTTGGCCTTTTAATTGAGATAATTTCTGTGATTACCCCACTAATTCAAATTATTAAATCTATTTTTTAAATAAAATGATTTTTAGTTTTTAATCTATTATATTAAATTAAAAAATAATTTATTGGGAATTTAATAAAAAAAATTTTTTTAATATTTGACTTTTAATTTTTTATTATATTTTTTAATTTTTAATTTTTTAACATTTAAACAAATAAATTTCTAATAAAAATTTTGGGGTACTTAAAAGCTTAGAATTTAATTTCTATAACATTAATTAAAATTATTTTAAAATATAATGATTATTAAATATTGTTAATATATTATTACCAAAAAATTATAAAATTCATAGCCTCCAAATAAATTCTACTCTATCTTCCATCAATATGGTTGTCGGATCCGGATATCCGGAACTGAAAAAACCCCGGATATCCAAAAATCTTCGGTTAGGATACCGGATCCGGATATCCGAAGATTTCCAACTATCCGACAACCTTATCCATCAACTGAGTAAATAACACATTTCCTGCCAATTCGAACGTTTTCTATACTTCACCCCACAAACTTTTACCTATTTCTTTTTAAATTTATATTTTTTATAGAATTATTTCAAAAAAAAATTAAAAATGTTCAACTTCAAATCATTTGGAAAGATCCAAAAAATATTATTTTGTTATTTATTCATCACTATGTTTATATTTCAAGGTTTATTAGCTCAGAATTGTCTTAAACCTAGAAGCAAATGTGATATAAATGCTGTAGTCGCTTCAAATTGTTGTGGTGATAATTATTATTGCTTTAAAAGTAAATGCACAAAATGTCTGGGAAAAGGTGGGGATTGTAGAAATGGACCTTGTTGTAGCCATAGTTGTGTTGGTGGAAAATGTAATTGAATGGGGATTTAAAAGAAAATGAAGGAGAGAAAATGTACATATCTTGGAAGACTAAATTTTAAGAAGTAAAAAAAATTTTTAAAGTCTAAAGTCTTTTCGAGCCAAAATTGGGAACTATTAAAGTAATTTTTAATGTAAAAATTAGCGTTGTTGGCGAAAGTTTATTAACCGGTACCTCTGGTTTTGGGTAAATCCAAATTTTAGAATTTCGGTTTTCGGTTTTGAGTTTTAGGCAAATACCGGTTTTATTTTGGGGAATTTTTAATAAAATCACTCATTTTCACAAATTTCCGGTTTTCGTTTTTTAGATTTTCTAAAAACTGTTAATTTTTTGGGCAAAAAAATTTCAAAAATTCCGGTTTTAAAACCGGTCGCCAACAACCCAGTAAAAATTATAATATTGTAATTTCATAAAAGTAGTATAAAAATATGTAGTTAAATTTTTTGGATTGATAATGTGTATTATGTACGTGTATTTAATTTTCAGTTAATAATAAATTTTATAATTAAAACTCTGACTGACACCAAAAATTTACACATTAACTAAACGTATCGCTTAGGCATTCCCTACCCTCTCTTCAACCACGTGGTAAACCACATCTAGAGAACGTATTACATTAAAATGTGTGTGGGGATATAATTGAAATACTTAAAATAATTACGAGATTAAATTAGGTATACATTGAAAATTATTAGAGGTTTTTAACCCGAGATCAGCTTTCTACATTAAGTATTCAATGTGTTTTTTGAAATATGTACGCCCAAAACTTTAAAAGAAGCAATGTTTTAAAGTAAAGTTTTTAAGCAAATTTTTAAATAGAAAAATTCAAAAATTCAAAAAATAGCTCAAATTTAAATTAAGAATAATCTTTGCTAGATGTGTTAGGGAGTTTTTTAACTTTGAATGGCACAAATAAAAATTGTTTTGGCTTTGCTCTTCCTTCCTTTCTTTTATTTTTTATCTTTCCGTTTTTGCACCAATTTTCTCTTTCCAATTTGGCTTTAAAAATAAAAGAAAAAGCTTTGAAAATTGGTAGAACGTTTGCGGAACATTTGCGGATTACCTCGATTTTATAGTATACCCCTAGGGGGCCGAAAATGGTGTTTTTAGAAATGAGGGAGGGTATATTAAATTGAAGGTATTGCGGTTGAGCAATTCTCCTCCAAATGACCAACCAAAATTAAAAAACATATGTACCGTATTTACTCGGTTAATTCCCTCCCTCGAATTTAATTCTCCTCTCTCGAATAATTCCCCCTGCTACGGATATGTTGAAACAATAATCCCCCTCACCCAAATACCCTACTACATGTTCAAATTTCAATACTCGGATAATTCCCCTCCCTCGATTAATTCCCCATGCCACGGATGGGTTGAAAAAATAATTCACCAGGGGAATTAATCGAGTAAATACGGTATCTAAAATTAAGGTTTATCTAATTTTGGGGTATTTAAATGTGAGGTCCGAATTGTTTAATTAAGAGATTTTTATAAACATGGGCAATACATTGGCCCTTAAAATATTCCAATTTCAATAGACTTTAGTTTTATCTACAAATATTTTTCCGCAAATTTTGTCCGCAATATTGTCTAGCCTCAAAAAGAAAAGGCTTCTTCTTTTTGTTCGACACTAAAACACCTCCTCTCTTTCTTTCTCTTTTCTTAGCTTAACCTCCCCTATATTTACATTAGCGCCATGTGTCTAAAAATACTCTATGTATATACAAATAACAATTATAATTATAACAAAACATATATTTCTTTAAATTTTGTTGAAAACAAAATTAAATGAAGTGTACTCTTCCTTTGTGGTTTTATTACCCGTCAGAATGTTTTTATTAAAGTTTGTTTGAAATTAGTGTTCTTTTAAGCTTTTTTTCTTTTGTTAAAGGAAGTGACGAACATATTTTTAAGAGAAGAGAATGTTTATTGATTCTGTTTAAATTTAATTCTGATTGTTTTTATTAAATTCTGAAAATGTTTAAATTAAATTCTGATTGTTTTTATTAAATTCTGAAAATGTTTTTAGTTAATTCTGAAAATGTTTTTATTAAATTCTGAAAATGTTTTTGTTTAATTCTGATTTTTATTGTTTGGTTTATGTTGTAAATTAATTCTGGTTTTATTAATGTTTATTATGATTTCTGATTTTCAATATTGATGTTTTTCTGATTTAATTTAATTGTTTCCTAATGTTGTTCTGATTTGTTTTAATTTTATTCTGATATTACCTACTATTTTTCTAATTTTTTAATCCAAATTTAATTCTGATTTTAATAATTCTGATAAATTAAATCCCTAAATTTTATATAAAGCTGTTTCAACGCGAAAATTCAGTGTCTGAAGAAAAATTTTGAAATTATTAGTTTTTCTTGTTAATTTTCAAAATAATATTAAATTAATATTTTATTTTAGTATAATCTCTTAAATTTAATTAAAATGAGATTCAGAATCTTCACTTTTCTTTTAATTATTTTCTAAAATTTTTGATAATGAGTGAAGCTAAAATTTTACAAAGAGATGCTTCTGCTTCCAAATCTCATAAAAATAAATTATTAAAAGAAAAAAATGTAAAAGAAGAAGCTAATAGTAGCCCCGTAGAGCCAATCGAAACTGATGCAATGCTTGAAAAACGTGACGAAAATCGATTAGCTAATGCTATATTAAATGCTTCTAAAGGGGAAAATGAATTTCTTCCTCCCCAGCTACAGGCTAATGGGTCTAGTGGTGGTAGAAACACTGCTTGTGTTGAGGTTTTGATTATAAAAAATTTTTTATAGAATTGTGAAGCAAAATAAAAATTTAAAAAATCGATGAGTAATTGCTTCGATTTTGAGAAAAAAATATTGGAAACATAATTAAAATTTGCTTCATGTTTTTATATTTTATTGAAAATTTGCTTCAATTTTGCCTCAATTACATATTTTTTTAAATTAAAACTTGAATTTTATTTAAAACTTCACTAGAAATTAAATGCTGCACATTTTTATTTTTAAAACTAAAAATTGAAATAATTTTTTTAACTTGAATTTGGAAAGACTAAATTTTCTTCACATTTTAAATTAAAAAATGTTAATTTAAAAAAGTTGAAAAACAATTATTAAAGTTGGAACCTTTTATTCAAAACATGAAGCAAAACTCGAATTTTACTATAATATTAACTAGAAACTTGCTTCACCTTTTAAAACTTGATTTAATTAAAAATGTTTCACAATTTAAATAATTATTAAAACAGGTTAGAGCACGCTCTTCTAGTCCACGGAGGATTCCATTATTTGAGAGAGCTTCAGCTAGATGGTTTATTTGTCTTTTTATTTAAAAAATAATTTTTTCTAAAAAGGTGGAATCCCCAATTTGCTTCACCTACATTAGAAACTCAATATTGGAAGTGTTCTTTCCCTTTACTGAGAGACCGATTCCGTTCAGGACTATTATATATCCTTATTTGTTGTTTAAGTTGGTTATTATTTCTTTGGATATTTAATCAAACACAGCCTTTTCATTGGGTATTTTATTAAATTAATGGAAACATTAAATAAAAATATGCTTCAAGTTTTCATTTTTTTATTTGAAGCAAACCTTGCTTCATGTTGTATTTTTATTTTTCGAAGCAAACATTGCTTCAGGTTCTTTTTAACATGTTGCAAATTCCCTATAAACCTGCTTCAAGTTTAATTATTCACATTTGAAGCAAACATTTCCTAAAACCGACTTCAGGATACTTTCGATTTTAAACAACCTGAAGCAAATATTTCAAATATTCTCCATTGTTTTTAAACTTGAAGCAAGTTGTAAGCAAAAGCCTGTTTCAAGTTGAGATAATTTTTTGTAAAACTTGCTTCCACCTTATAATTTGCAATGCAGCCCCTTGAAGCAGGTTTATAGGGAATCTGCTTCATATTAAAAAGAACTTGAAGCAAGTTTGCTTCGAAAAATGAAAATTATTCCATTATAATAGTCGGTCATTCGAAGTTTTATTTTAAAAATTATTATAGTTAATCGCCTCCCTCCTTTGTCTCCTTTTTGGTTTAATGTTATGGTTTGCTTCATGTTCACCCCATTATCGCCGTTTTTATCTACCAACTTCATTTCTGTGTACCTTCCTTTTGTGTCTAACAACTTTGTTTATTTGTTCAAGTGCCGAAACTTTTATGGGGCCAATAGCTAGTATGGCTACTTCTATGCAGGCATTTTTTAATATTTTTAATTTTTAAAAATTAAATTTTAGGTTATTCTACTCGTCTATGCAGTCATTCCATTCCCCTTATATCTTTGTATCATCTCTTGTGGATTTTATTCATTCTTTTTTGAACTGTTAGCAGCTCCATCTCCTGCTACATCTACAGGCAAAATTTTATAAAAATTAACTTTTTAATCATGAGAAAAACCCTGCTTCTTATCTAGAAGTTTTGTTTCATGTTTTATTAAACTTGAAACTTTTTTTTCAAAACTTGCTTCAAGTTTTAGGAAAAAATTTTTTGCAAACTTGCTTCAAGTTCTATTAGGTTTTTTAAAACTTGCTTCAAGTTTGGATTTCGATTTAAGAAAGAAACTTGTTTCAATTTTTTAAAAACAAAATAAATTTGCTTCGAGTTTATTTGTTAGGTGTTGTTCATTTTCGAACTGGAACTAAAACAGCAATTCATTTATGTATTCATCTACTTGGCATACACCTTTATATACTCACACAAGTTAGACAACGTAAAACATTCCTCAAAGTTGGGCAATCGTTATTGGCAAGGAAAGATTTGGAATTGGAAACACAATTTAAAGATCATATGATTCAGTCTGTTATGCCTAAAAAGGTGACTGAAATTACTTCAATTTTTTTGTTTTTGCTTCAATTTTATGATTTTTGCTTCACATTTTAAATTTTTGTTTTTTCTTTTTTTTCTGCTTCACCTTTTTATTTAAAAATATTTTCAACTCTAATTTTTATTCTTTTCTAGGTAGCTGATGAACTGTTAAAAGAAACGAGCGAATTACGTCGTCCATCTGCTTCGTTAGAATCCCATTCAAATTGCCGAACTTCAAATGCTACAGTTGGTGGCGGTGGGCGTTCTAGTGCAGCTGGGGAATCTACAAGTGGAGGGGGTCTCATGCCGGGACCAAATGGCAGATTATCTTCGTCTGGGGGTGGTAAGCAATATTTTTAGGTTCTGCTTCATTTTGAGAAAAAAATTTTTTTTGAAAATTTTTGCTTCATTTTTAAAATTCTCTTGCTTCACATGTTTAAAAAATTTAAGGGATTAAAACAAAAATATTTTTTGCTACAACTTTCATTTTTGCTTCATTTTTATTTTTTTGCTTCAAAATTTAATTTTCAATCTACAGGTGTTCGCAAATTCCGCCCTTTCACAATGAATTTAATGAGTGATGTTTCAATACTTTTTGCTGACATTGCAGGCTTCACAAAAATGGCTTCGAATAAATCAGCCGATGAATTAGTCAATTTATTAAATGATTTGTTTGGCCGTTTTGATTATTTGTGTGGGAGGTGTTGCTTGGAGAAGATTAGCACACTTGGGGATTGTTATTATTGTGTTGCTGGTTGCCCAGAGCCTAGGGCAGACCATGCCAAATGTTGTGTTGAAATGGGGTTGGCAATGATTATAGCTATTAGACAGTTTGATTTGGATAGAGGACAAGCTGTTAATATGAGGGTTGGAATACATACTGGAAAGGTATTGAATATTCTGATTCTTAAAATCAGAATCAGAATTTATTTTTTGAATCAGAATTTTATTATTTCTAAAGGTAATGTGTGGAATGGTTGGCACTCGCCGTTTCAAATTCGATGTATTTTCCAACGATGTAACCCTTGCTAACGAAATGGAATCAACTGGGGTTGCTGGCAGAGTTCATATTAGTGAAAAAACTGCAGACTATTTGGACGATGCTTATATTTTGGAAGAAGTAAATTGAAAAATAAATTTTTTCTGAAAATTCTGATTTTTATTTAGGGTGCTCCCCATAAGGAAATGAAAACTTTTTTTATTGCTGGCCGCTCTAAAGAATTTGAATCGGCTAGTGGTCAGTTTCTAAACACAATTTCTGGCGATTCTGATTCTGCAAGAGGTGATGGGGGACTTGCTAGTTTAGAGAGTGGAGCTGGTGTTTACAAAGCTAGCTTTAGAAAGGTGAGAGAATTTAAATAAAGTAGAAAAAATACAGAAAATATAAATCAGAAATAAATGTATTTTATTTCTTGGAAAAGAAGCGTGTGTTAATTTTTTAATTGTGTTTTATTTCCGGAACGGAAAAATGTATTTCTGTTGTGGAAAATCAGAATATAAGTTGTTTTCTTTGCTTATAGACATGTATGTATTTTATTCTGAAAATGTATTTTCCGGAAAATAATATTTATTTTCCTGAAAGTCAGAATAATGTGTTTTTAAATTTCAGAATTAAACCTATTTTAATTCTGAAATATTTATGTATTTTCTTTCCGGAACTTAAATCAGAATTTTTTCTAATTAAATCAGAATTTTTGTATTTTCCGTAATTCTTGTATTTTTTTAATTTTTGTATTTTCAGAAATTAGTTGACAAACTCCGCACAATACAAACAAATTCCCTACCACCAGTCTCCCGAGCAGGCACAACCACTACAACAACAAGTCAACAATTAATTGGGGGAAGTAATATAACCCCATTCCACGCATTTGGAGGGGGTGGTTCTCTTCGAATGCGTTTATTAGATCGTTCAATAGAAAATCAGAATCAACAATTTTTAAATAAGGAAGAAAAAGATATTAATAAATTTCTCTCGAGTAACGCTACTGGGTCAGCACAAGTATTGACTAGTATTGGGGAATCTTCGACAGATGAAAGTATTGGAGCTTTGGGGAAGCAGAAGATGCATAAACAACAACAAATGCAGGTGTAAAATTATTTTAGGAAATAATTTACAAATTATTTTTTGTTTGTTTTTATGAGTATATGTATGTATTTCTAAAATTCGCCTTTTATGCTGGCATGGGCCTTTCCATTTGGAGTATTTTATAAGACTTAAGTCCGGGATACCTTTCACCTTAATCGGTAAAGCTCTGAGACTTGCCGAAGCATAGATGTTACCGCTATAATACATATAAATGTTAGGCCTAACTCTATCTAATGAGAAAAATGGAAAACATTATATAATGAACATTAATGGGCGGATAAATAATAAAACATTACAAATGTTTAATGGGAAAATAACAATAATGGAAGGATGAATCAAAGTGCCCTTTAGCCTTTCCTGCTAGAATTCACCTTACATTTTTATCAAAATTTTCTTCAATTTATTATTTAATTTAAAGAATCGTCTTGTTGATGATACACGTAAATCAACCTCTTTACAAATGTTAACTCACGGGGATGGAATACTTCCACCTTCAAATACTCCTTCCAGCAAAATTGCACGTAGTATTATTGGAGGCACTCCACCTCCCAATAAAACAAGTGAAAGTGATTTATCAGAGGGTGTTAGAAAGGAGAAAATTGGGGTTAGCAATAAAGAATTGAAAGAAAATGGTGGGGGAGGAGAGGAGAAAAATGTGAGTATTTATAAATTATTGTAGGCAAATCCTCCGCTATGATAGCTGGGGGAGTATAATGTGTTTACTTGTAAAAATACAGCCAGAATTAAACTTTTAAGTGCTTTTCTTCGTAAAGTTTGGCATAAAAAGTTTAAATCACAAATTTTTGGAATAGAAAAAGCCCGGGAGATTCCTTTCACCATTATATTCATACATTTTTAGCATCAATCCAAACAAGAAGAAAAATCAAAAACTAATAGTTATGTTGATTGGCGCACAGCAGAACGTATAGGTGGTAAAATATCTGCAGATCTTGCAAATGAGAGTAGTGCAAATAATAGTGGAAGGGGGTCAAGAAGTTCGGGATTACAGGTGTTTTTTGAATATTTTGAATATTTAAATCGTCTTAGATTTATCATTATTTTCTCTTATTTAAGTACGTGTGATAAGCGATTTTAAAAAATTAACGAGACATTATTTAAAAATTAAAGGAACTTGGTTCTGAAATTGGTGGGCACTCTACCACTTCCCTCGCTGGACTAGACACAGCAATATCACATCATCACAACGCAGCTTCACTTACCAGATTTGATACAGACCATCGGGATTTTGATCAGCGTTTAGCACAAGTCATTCACACAGCAGATGGGTCATTTGCCAAAGGGTTTTGGATGCATCAAGAGGTGGGGAAGGATTGAAATAATTTTTTTGTTTAAATATGAGAAACTCAGGTTGTCTGACTGATTATACTAGGTTATATCGAAACTTCAATTCAATAGACTTTAAAGCTAAAGCTTATCCATATCCATAGTCATCAATTCTAGTCATTGCTGGTAAATCTCTCTAAATCTATCTTTTGTTTTACATAATGGTTTTATTTTCATCCCAATTTTAAATTTCTGTGTGTAGCGGGAGAAGAGGGGTTTTTAGGAATATATCTAATTTTTATTTTAATATTTTCAACTTTTTTGTTGATTTTAAGTGTTTTTAATATTAATTTTCATTTATAAAAATTTTTAAAACTTATTTTAAGTCATTAAACCGATGGACTCTAAATTTTAATCAAAGAGACATCGAGGCTGAATATCGTGCCCATTTTGCGGTAAATGAGATTAGATCACACCTACAAAAATCACAGATTTCCCTCTTATTTAAGGCAGGTGACTCTTCTGAAAAGCACTCTAGTGCGCGTAATGCAGCTACTGGCATTGAGAAGCATAGACAAGTGAATCAGAATTTTTTAATAAATAAAAAATTATTTTTTAAAGTTATCTACACAATTACAAAATATTGGGGGTGGTGGACATAGTGTTACAGCAGCACTTTCCCAACAACCCCGACAAAACAAAAATAACATTAACAACAAAAATACAAAACCCCAACCCCAACAACAATTATTAATTAATATTCCCCACCGTCACCGCCCCCGTTATCGTTATTCTGGTGTTTTTATTGATATTTTTGTTTCTGCATTTTCTTTTGTTGTGTGTGCAATTTTGTTTTTGGTACAGCCTGGAATTGAATTATCCCCTCCTTTTTTGGTTTATATCTCTGTAGCAGCAATATTTCTAACTGGTAAATAAATTTTTTTGGAAAATTTTTTAAAAAATTCTTGTAATTTTTCCCGGACAATTTAATTCAATATTCTGATTTAGTATTTAATAATTCTGATTTTTAACTTGTATTTTTATTTAATCTTTGTATTTATTCGGTAATTCTTCGGCTGACGCCCTCCCTTTTTTATGTTCTGTTTTTTATTTATTATAAAATTTCTATGTATTTTTTATATACATTCGAAAGAGCTCTTCCAGCTGAGTCGAACGGCACTTAAATCATCGAAGGCTGACTTAAATCAACATAGTTATGAGCTCAAAATGGTCAGATAAACATAAGTAAAAGGGGGCGTCGGCCAAAGAATTACCATTTATTCTAATTATGATTTCTTGTTGTCTGTGTTTGTGTTTTCTGTGTTTTTATTGGTAGTTCTGATTTTTATTCTGATTGTTTTTCCGTAGTTCTGTAATTCTGATTATTATTTTTAATTCTGGTTTCTTCTTGTTTCCTATCCTTTGTTTATTTACAGATTCTGGTCTTGTGTTTTATTATGTTAGTAATTTTATTTTTAATATTAATTTGTGTATTTTTTTACTTTTAATATTCTGATTTTTGTATTTTTGAAAATACAAAGAAAATACAATTAATTTAATTAATTAAATGTATTTTAGCTGTAATTATACTTGTCGGTCTACCTTTACTCAGTCGGCGGCCAATCCTCCCATGGCTTCATCAATGGGGTCCGAGACATGTTTTGGGTAATAAAAAATATTAAAAAATTATTTTTTATTTAAAATTAATTAAAGGTGCATTATTAATTGCTTTGCCTGTCGGCGTTGCTTTATTTAATATTCCTCTATGTTTGGATAAAATAATTTATTATTATCCCCCTCCAAAAGCTCCAATTATTTGTATTCATCCTGGTCAATTAGTTCTTCGTTTACTTTATTCTTATGTTTTGTTATTGGCTTTATACACGCATTGCAATTTTAGGTAAAATTTAAAATTCTGCTTGTTTGGATACTTTTTTAATTAAAAAATTTAATTTTTAAAGCCTTCCTCCCTTTTTATTATTTCCTTATTCTGTCTAGGATTAGTCGAGGTTGACAAGCACAAAAATAACACTATCCAATGTGGGAGTTACATTTAAGCTGAGGGTGGAATTAAGTGTGGATCAAACGAAGGAGATCAGGGACTAGACGGTCCGAGGCACGTCTCAGACAAGTCTGACGTTACGTCCCTCTCTCTCCAACTTTTTTAATAAAATTTTGCCCCTCAAAATTTACAAACACTCTTAGAATTGAATTTAAAAAAGAAAATTCAAATGTCTTTTAAAAAATAAAATTAAGAAAGAAAATTTAAAATTATATACATAATATTTTTTAAACAAATATGTATTTTCAGTCAACTCGGTGCCTGGCCAAAGACAGGGCAAGCATTGGCTGTTGCACTTGTATTTTTATTAAGCACCTGGTAAATTTAAAATATTTATTCTTTTAATTTTTAATAAACTTCCAAAAATTCCCAACAGGTTTTGTCAACACCAATTAGACTTTATTCGCTCCCTCGGAGCAGATTCCACATCATTATCTCCCTTCCATTCATTAATCGAAGCCTCCAAAAATTCAAATTCCTCTTCCTCAATATATTTCCATGACAGTATTCAACCCCATCCATTGCCTTGCAATACTTCCCAACAACCTGTTTGGTCTGCTGGGAATTTTGGATCTCCTTTGTTTTTATGGGAATTGGTTTTGGATGTTGTTTTGGCTGTTGTTTTAGTTGCTTTTCTTAATTATCAGGCAAAATAATTATTTTTCTAATAAAATTATAATTTGGTAAGGGGATGAAACAAAGCCCATTATTTATTAATTTATATTTAATGACTCACATACTTGAGTGACGAGATTTGTCTATGCTTTTAGAATTTTTTAAAATTCTTCGGTTTCCATTTTAATTAATGGTAGCAGGCACGGAAATTAAGTATTCTGTGCCTGCTACCTTTAATTATAAAATTCACCTCACTCAAAACATTAACTACCTTTATTAACTTCATACTCATTTTTATTAACTTCATACTCATTCTTTCCCAAGGCATCCCTTTGTCTCTTATTAATTTAAATTTGGATTTCAAAAAAATTCTATCAAGAAATTCTATTTTCCAGTCCACATTTTTTCCTCCCAATTTTTCACCCTATATTTGTACGGAATGGTCAAATTTTCCCCTTTCTTTCACCAAATTTGCCTTTCCATATTTTGCCTAAAAACAATCAAAAAGATTAATTTTTTATTAGTTCTTTCACAAGGAGAATCACCAAGCATGGAAAATGTTTTCTGGCTAGTATAAAAGGAAAAAGAAGTCTTTTTGATTGTTTTTAGGCAAAATATGGAAAGGCAAATTTGGTGAAAGAAAGGGGAAAATTTGACCATTCCGTACAAATATAGGGTGAAAAATTGGGAGGAAAAAATGTGGACTGGAAACGACACCATTACCATTCATTTCAATTAACATATATCCGCCTTAATCCTCTACGGAGTATATCCACTACTGAGTATATGGCGGAATGCTGGCCTGCTCTAACAAAACCTGTTACAGCTTTCTTCTTTTTTAGCGCCGCAGGCGAAAATTTTTTAAATTTTGGACTCAAGAAGCCAAATTTCCTCCATTTTCAGCGCCGCAGGCGAAAATTTTTTAATTTTAAGCTGTTTATATGACAGAAATCACTAAAAAAATAATGGTTTTTTCCATAAATTCCCGTCATTAGGGGTGCATTTTCTTACTTTTTTTTTGTTTCGTTTCGTCCGGAATTTTGGTTATTTCGTTTCTAAACGAAACGAAATAAATTTTTTTCTGTTTCTTTCCGAAACGAAACGAAATGGAAAAAAGGGCACGAAAGAGCGAAACGAAACGAAACGAAATTTCGATCAGCCCTGATCTCAACCTTTTTAATACATAATTTTTATTTTAAAATATTTGTCATTTTTTCAGTTTGAAGCGGCCTTTCGTATGTCTTTCTACGGAGATGTACAGGCGCGTAGAGATACTGCCAAAATGCAATTAGTTAGAGATCAGGCTGATTGGCTTCTTAATAATATGTTTGTTTTTATATTAAACGGAGATGTATAAAAAATATTTTTAAAGAATTCCCCCACATGCTGTTGAATCACTCAAAACAAATACAAAATATAGTGAAAATCACAAATTGACGGCAGGTGAATAAATAAAAATTTAATATTTTGTTTTTGTTAAGAATATCTGAAAGTGTAAAAATCGAATATCTTTTAAACGCGTTATTGATACATAGGTATTTTCCCTCAAGAAATGATTACTCTATTCACTGCTCCTAAAAATCCAAGTGCGCCTGCTTTTGTGAAGGATTATAATTAAAGACTTGGAGTGTCGTACGAGAATCGAGATCCCGAAAAATTTCGATCTCGATAACCGTGATTTTTTTCGAGATCTCGTCTTGTTCTGATCTCTAATTATAATTAAGGTTGGCGGTTCCGGGTATCCGGAACCGAAAAAACCTCGGATATCCGGAAATTTTCGGTTCGGATACCGGTTCCGGATCCGGATATCCGAAATCTTCGGTTCGGATACCGGTTCCGGTTCCGGATATCCGAAAGTTTCGGTTCGGATACCGGTTCCGGTTCCGGATATCCGAAATTTTCGGTTCGGTTCCTAGAATTAGGGAAAAAGGAAGAAATCTTGCCCAATGGCCTTTCAAACTTTTCAAAATTTTCGCCTGCGGCGCCGAAAAAGAAAGAATCCTGGCATAGGGATCTTCCAAAATTCTCAAAATTTTCGCCTGCGGCGCTAAAAAATATAAGAAAATTGACTTAAGGACCTCAAAATTCTCAAAATTTGCGCCAGCGGCGCAGAAAGAGGAAGAAATCTGGAGCCTTGGCTCACTATAATTCTCAAAATTTCCGCCTGCTGCGCTAAAAGTGAAAGAGTTTTAAGTACGTGTAAAAACTCACATACGTTGCTTGTTTACAAGTTTAAGGGAATGTTGATGTATTTGGATGTTATATAGAGTGGTCAAGGATGATAGGATTAGAGGGGATATATCAATAATAATAATATCAAAGGGGATATATCAATAAATCCTAATATCAATAAACCCCAGAGAGATATAGGTAGATCAACAAATCCCTCTATATCTCTCGTCATTACCAACCTCCGGCTCTTAATCCACCAATATCCCAATGTCTCTATTAATTCCCCAAAATCGCTCATTCCTCCCATAAGTAACACTGTTAATCATAAATTCCCTCAATACCTCTGTTAATTCCCCAAATCCATTCATATTGATCTTAATCCCTTTATGTCATCCATTGGGACTCAACTTTACAGCGCCGCAGGCGAAAATTTTGAAAATAAAAATTTCGGTTCCGGTTCCGGATACCCGAAAATTTCGGTTCGGATACCGGTTCCGGTTCCGGATATCCGAAATCTTCGGTTCGGATACCGGTTCCGGTTCCGGATATCCGAAAATTTCGGTTCGGATATCGGTTCCGGTTCCGGATATCCGAAGATTTCCCAGGAACCGCCATCCTTAATTATAATTACCATAAGGAGTAGTAAAATAAATATTATTTAAAACCTCCCGGAAAGCTCTATTATAAATTTTCTGGAAACCCATCCTAAAACTAATAGAGAAACCTACCAGAAACAAAAATGTGTTTTGTTTCTGGAAATATTTTTTCTGGATTTTAGTTAATTAATCAAAATTTCTATTTAAAATTCAATTCTTTTTCAAGTAATGTTTGCTTCAATAACAAATTGGCACGAAATGTATGAAGAAACATATGAGGGTGGTCGCGAATTTATTAGAGTATTAAATGAAGTTATTGGGGATTTTGATGGTAAAAATAAATTACCGTATTGTCTCTAATAGAAGCCCATCTCCAATAGAAGCCCATGCCCTATTAGAAGCCCACTCAATAGGGGGTATTGAAAAATAAAGGCCCATGCCCCAATAGAAGCCCATGCCCTATTAGAAGCCCATCTGATTTTTGACTACATATTTTTTTATTACCCGTGTTATAGTCGACTAAAGGTATTGATAACAAAATCCAGTCTACAAAACGGAGTATAGAAGGATTTGAATGGAATATCGGGAGATTTGGATGAGTTAAATAGAATTTAAGGTGAATTAAGAGAATTTGGAGAAAGATAGATACGGGTTTAAGAAGGTAACTAATGAATTGTTGTATAGAGACTATTGTATGATTGAGTGGGATATCGTTGGCTAACAACGAATTAATACGAATATTCAGAGATTGAATATTGAGAGAGTTGGTTGAATCTCAAGGATTCAACTCCTTCCGTGATATACCTCGGTCCACCCAAAAAGTTCAATATCGAGGGATTCCTCGATCGATAGAGGTATCAATAATCCTTCCATATTTTCCACTGAGGATATGGAAGTGATTAAGAAATTTAGGCGCGTAAGAAGGAGATTAAGTGTAGTAGAAGAAAGAGCATATTGGAAAATTAGAGTGTGATATTGTTAAAGATAAAAGGATCAATAGGGATATTGAAAATTAAGGTGTAAAATGGATTTAAGAGCAAGGGGGATATCAAGGAATATTTTGGAATTTAACGAATATTTACAATTAAGATGGAATAATAAAGATGGATAGGGAGCTTAATCTGATTATTCAGGAGTTCATTAATAGTGATTTGCGGGATTAGAAGGGATTTACTCATTACTAAGTTGAGGAAAAGGAGTTTTAGTGATATTTATATTAATTTTGATATTTAATTTTTACATTCTTTTCTGTTCTTCTTGCCAAGCAGTTAATTTCTGTTACTTTTTATTTTTTATTTTCTATAAAATTTCGATATTGAAAAATAAAAGCCCATGCCCTAATAGAAGCCCATGCCCTATTAGAAGCCCAGTCAATGAGGGGTATTGAAAAATAGACGCCCAGGGCTTGTATTAGAGATAATACGGTAATTGAAAAAAATAAAAAAATTATTTTTCCCAAAAAAGAATTACTCGACCGTTCTGAATTTGCACATGTTGAGAAAATTAAAACAATAGGTCCTTGTTATATGGCTGCTTCTGGATTGAATCCTGATAGAAGACGGTTGTCATTACATCCCTATGAACATTTATATCAGGCAAATTTCTTATTTTTGTTTATCCAAACATTTCAATTTTCTAAAATGTTTTTTGAAAGCTTCTAATTTTTACTTCTGCTTCATAACTTGTTTAGATTCTCTTAAAATTGCTCAATTTCCATTTTTGCTTCAAAAATATCTCATTTTTTTAAATCTTTAAATTTTTACACGCAAACTTAGGGTCTATAAAATTCTGTTCTGCAAGTTTCGCGCCATATTTTCGCGTTTCGCGCCATATCCGCTTCAATTTTTAATTTGCTAGCAATTATTTTCGCTAGTTCTGCTTTAGTTTTAAACTTTTCTATTTTCTAAAATTTATTAATGGGAAGAAAAACAATTTAAAAAACTTTTTTATTTTCCAACTTTGAATTAAAGTCTATTTTTAGTTAATGGAATTTGCTATTGCTGTACAAAATGCACTAGCCTTCTTCAATCAAGGCAATTAAAAATTAATCATTATTTTATCTCAAAAAAATTAATTTTCAGATCTCTTAAATTTCGAATTTGAATGTAAAATTGGTTTGAATATTGGCCCTGTTACTGCAGGCACTAAATAAATTTTGTTTTAAAATTTATTCAATTTAAAGGTGTTATTGGCACCACCAAACTTTATTATGACATTTGGGGGGATACCGTAAATATTGCTTCTAGAATGTATCAGGTAGAGAATTGGACTTGAAGCAAATTTTAAAAACTTAAAAAATTAAGACTGGAGTAAAGAATCGAATCCAAGTTTCTGCCCACACAAAAAATTTGCTTATTGACCGATATGATTTTGAACATAGAGATCATATTCAGGCTAGCAATTTTTAATTTAAAAAATTAAAAAAAATTTTCAGGTGAAAGGCGTTGATGGGGGTATGGACACTTTCCTTTTGGTTGGTCGGAAAGGTGAAGGACCTCTTACATTTCCTTTTGGCAATGATAAATAAATAAAAATTATTATTTTCTTAAATCTCTGCTATAAATCTATAGTCCCAATGTTAATCTGAAATTGCTTCAAAATAATTTGTTTCAGTTTTAGTGCTTTTTACTTGAAAGTATGATTAGGATGCCGGCCCGGTCCGGTTCGAAAGATCGAATCGGGCTTCGATTTTTGACCCAAAAAAGACTCGAACGTCGGCCTGATTCGAAAATGGCAACCCTATTTAATGATGATTCAATCTTTTATTTTTCTAGAATAATCAAGCTGATTAAAATTTTAATAGATAAAATATAACGAAAATTTTACAAAACTTGAAGCAAATTTATTCAAAATTAAATATTAATTTCCATTTTTTGAAAGTTGAAGCAAAGCTTTATGTTTATCCAATCTCGAATTTTTCTTTAAAATATTTCCTTGTTATTTCTTTCCTAATTTTCGTTATTTTTTCAGTTTCAAGATTTTATGCTTTAAATATTTTTTTAATTTTTTCTTTTCATTTTACCGGTGTATTTTCCAAATTTCTCATTTTGGGGCAACCCCAATAACCTCATCTCTTAATCTCACAACCCTATTACATGTTAATCTTTAGCAATTTTTAAATTTTAATTTGCTTTTCAATACCTTTTTTTATCATTTTTTGGCAAAATAAATATTAATTTTTTGTAAAAAAATTTTGACTCTAGTCTAGTTTAAAGTCAAATTGAAATTTATGAGTCAATTAAAGACTACCGTATTTACTGAAATAATTACCCGGGTTAATTATTGTTTCGAGGGGGTAATTAAAAGGGAGGGGGGGGTAATTATTTGGGGTTTTTTAAACAGGCTAATTATAACTATTTTTAAGAGGGGTAATTATTTTTCGATCTCTGGCTGTAGGGGGTAATTAATAGGGAGTGGGTAATTATTTGAGAGAGGATAATTATTTGAGTAAATACGGTAATCTAATTTTCTTTACTTACCATTTCAAGTATACCGAATAGAAATTGTTAACATATTTTTACAAGTATTAATATTAGAATTACTAAAGTTAAATAAGAAAAAATTTAAAAATCCAGTGGAGACTTACATTTTAATGGCATTTAAATGGCAACATGAAAAGAAATTATCTAATAAAAACATTTAAAAGGAACATTAAAAATGAAAAAATTCCAGTAGGGACATAAATACATGTGTTATATGTATAAGAGAAATCCAATTATACTTGTAGTATAAATCCCAGTAAAAAAATTTTTTGAACGTTTTCAATGATATTAATGTAAATATTGCTATAGTTTCTTCTTGATTTGTTTCTATTTAATAAATTAAAAGAAAATGGAAAAAGAAATCTATGAATATTCAAACAAGCGAAAGTCTGTTGTTCAAATTATTTTACCTACAACAACCAATAAATCAGAAAAACCAACAAATCAGACAGATGAAAACAATAATTTAAATGAATGGATTGATGATAAAAAGAAAAAAATAAATTTATTAATTAGCCGTATCTACAGAAGAAGAAGCAGAAGGGGAAGTAATATTAGTGCGGTTAGAAAGCAGACAATGAGAGAAAAGTTTGTTGAAGTTTTTCTAACAAATCAGAATTTTATTAAAACATGTGAAATTGTGTCAAAAACAAACATGTTCAAATTAAATCAGAAAAAGTTGCAACAATTAAGTAATAAAACCAGAATTTAATTAAAACTTGACAACATTTAAATAATAAAAATCAGAATAAAATTAAAACATTTAATAAATCGTTTCAGAATTCAACCACGCTATCTGACAATGGAACCACTTTGTTGCCTTTCATCGTGCTTGGTTTTTCGAAGATTTTTTATTTAGTTAATTAAAAAAAATAAGGTTCGAACAGGATGCCATTTTGTTGCAATTCTCGAAATCTTTTATGTTTTGCCTGTTTTAATTACAATTTTATTTCATTTATATGACAATGGATGTTTTAAGTTTTGGACTAAACTAGATAAAACGCAGTTGAACTATAATAAAATTGTAACTAAATATTAAATAATTATAAAAGATTAAAATCTAAATTCGAAAGCTTGATAATTAAGACAAGACAATAGGTAAAACAAAATTGGAATAAAATAAAGCTAGTTAAATATTAATAAAAATCAAAACAAAATCAAAACAAAATCAGAACAAAATCGAAACGGAATAAAATCAAAACAAAATCAAAACAAAATCAGAACAAAATCAAAACAAAATCAGAATTAAATCAAAACAAAATCAGAACAAAATAAAAACGGAATAAAATCAAAACAAAATCAAAATAAAATCAGAATTAAATCAAAACAAAATCAGAACAAAATAAAAACGGAATAAAATCAAAACAAAATCAAAACAAAATCAGAACAAAATCAAAACAAAATCAGAATTAAATCAAAACAAAATCAGAACAAAATAAAAACGGAATAAAATCAAAACAAAATCAAAATAAAATCAGAATTAAATCAAAACAAAATCAGAACAAAATAAAAACGGAATAAAATCAAAACAAAATCAAAATAAAATCAGAACAAAATCAAAACAAAATCAGAATTAAATCAAAACAAAATCAGAACAAAATAAAAACGGAATAAAATCAAAACAAAATCAAAATAAAATCAGAACAAAATCAAAACAAAATAGAACAGAATTAAAACAAAACCAGAACAAAATCTAAACAAAATCAGAATAAAATCAAAACATTACATATTAAATCTTGTTATCTAGTTAAAAAATTAATAACTAAACTTCCTTTAAAAACCAGAAAGTTTATAGTTTTTATTAAAAGAAAATAATTAATAGGTGAAGCACCAAGCAACGCTATACATTTTTGCTTTATTTGCTATTCTTACATTAATAATGGCTTTATTACTAATTTATGGTCTTCTTACTTTTGAACATATTTACATTAAAAGTATATTTAATATTTTTAATTGTTTTTATTTATGTTTAATTAAAAAAAGTTCATTGGCGTTTTGATATTGCATCGCTTATCTTCAACATAATTTTCTTCATAATGTAAGCAAAATAAAAATTTAAAATAAATTTTTGACTAACATTTAAATATCAATTTAATTTTTTAACATTTAAAAATCAACTATAAATTTGTTAGATACACTATAGCCTTGGCTATTGAATGGTCAGTTACAAACGTGGAAGTACCCGATTTGCTTCTGGTTGGAAAATAAAACTTTAAACATTAAAGTTAAATTAAAGGTTGTAGCTTTTGCAACACAAATTCCTATACAAATCTGGGCAATTTCTGTAGTTAAAAAATGCTATGATTTTTATTTATTACTACATGTATTTGTGACATTGGCAGAAAAATAATATTTTCAAAAATTTAAAAAATTTTAATAAACTAGAAATAATAGAAATTGAGCAAAATAGAAAATATTAAATTGAGGATCGAATCTTTTTTTAAAATTTAGTTGAATAAATATATTTTGCGCTTCTTATTTTACTATTAATTTGAGAGATAATTCTGATTCGTCAAATTGTTTCTTTTGTTGTTTGTGTCTTAACTAGAAATGTTTTTAGTTAATGTTTTTCTGATTAAATTAAATTTGTTTGGATAAAATTAAAATTGTTCAGAATAATTATAAAACAAGTTCTGACTAAATAAATCAGAACAAAATTTGAACATTAATAAAACTTGTTCAGAATTAATTTGTTCAGAATTAAATGTTCTAAACATTTTCAGAATACTAAACAAACATGTTTGTAAATGTTTATAAACATGTTTGGATAAACAAATGTTACTATGAAATGTTTACCGTCGGTAAAACATTGTTGAAAGTTTTGTTGTTGTTGTTATTTAAAAGTTGTTGTTGAAATTGTAATGTTGTTGAATCATCCCCCTTGTCTAAAGTAACTAAAATTTTTCTTTGTTTATTTCCTCCATTAGAAAAATTATTGGAAGAAAAAGCATCTTTAAATAAAAATATTTTTTAAATATTTAAAAATATTACAATTAATGCTTTTTTGTGCTATTCTTGTTATTTCCTGTCCAGCTAAAGATAATTTTGAAGAAACATTATTATTTCTCACATTATTATTGATAATTACGCTACGATTCTCTTGTTCTGAATTCAACCTTTCATCAGATCCGGAAGAGGAAGGGGGTGATTCCTTAAATTTTATTTTTTATAAAAAACAAAATTATTTAGAAGTTAAATAGTCGATACAGATGTATTTCAGAATTGTTACATTAAATAGAATTTTATTTGTTATAGAATTTCGAAACATATGTATATGTACCTATATTATTGGAATTTTTAAAAAGTGTTTTTAATTGTAAGTGAATGTCGTCTCCTTTCCCTGTGTTTTTATTGTTATTCTGAAAACTCTGAAATGTTTCAGAATTTTATAGATCAGAATTTCATAGAATTGTTTCTGAAATCTATACAATCTTTACCCAAGTTTTAAATGTTCTAAAATTTCAGAATATTTGTTTGTTTAATTAACGGTTGTTTTTCTGATTTTTTTAGAAATGTTTCCCGTGTTTTTAATGTTTTTCTGATTTATTGGAGTATCTAAAAATGTTTTAATTTATAAAAACATTTTCAGAATTTAATAAAAACAAATATTTCCTCACTAATTTTATTGCCATTGTTTGTATTTCACGATGTGCAGCATTTTCACGCCCACCACTTTTATTATTAATATTAGGAATTGAAGATCTATCAGTAGAACCTCCACGTTTCTTCTTTGAATTAAATAACGAAAAAAATCGTTTAGGACAGCATTGACCAAACTTAAAAATTATTTTGAAAATTAAAAAAATATTTTATTTTTCCCTCACAGTTTGTAAAAATTCGTGTCTAAACAAATTGGACATTGTAGCATAAAGTAAAAAATTAACGGAAGAATTAAGCAAGGAAAGAAAATCTAAAATATTTGATAATTGTGCCATAGCAAAGCGAACCTTTAATTTTAAAATTAAAATAAATTTTTAAATTAATTTTTACTTGTGGTTTAATACCCATCCAAATAACAAGTATGCCTTGTGGAAGTTCGGTAATGAGAAAAACGGCAACAATTATCTAAAAAATTAATTAATGTGACTTTTAGAAAATTAATGAATTGAAGCAAAAAATTGAATCAAAATTGTTTTAATAAGCAAAAAAGTCCAAAAGAAGAGAAAATTGGCAACTTACAGTCAACATTGCTGTTGTTCTCTCAGCTTGCACTTTGGAAGAATTTCCACTACCAGAAGCACCCTTTTCATTTCCAACAGATTTGTCTCTTCCATTATTAGTTTGGGTTGGTAAAGAAGAGAGTGTTGATTGTTTCCCATTATGGAGTCGATTTCTAAATTAATTTTTAAAATAAATATTGTATTATACATATCCCGCAAATACCTTCTTTCACGTGCTTCAACAAGCATTCGAACAAGTAAAGTCATAAAAATAGTTAATAGAAGGCAAGGCACTAATTTTAGAAGGAGACCTAATTTAATTTTAATTTTACTTAAAAATATTTTTAATTTAAATATTTACCAGCTATCCAAAAGCTAAAACGCTCCCAAGTACAATTCCAAAAACTTGGTTGAGCTAAAATATAGGCAGATACATTCTGAAATTAAGAGACACATATAAATTCTGATTTTATTTAAGGAACATACAGAATCAGGTTTTTCGTAAAACGAGGCAAACTTTGAACCATTAGCCTTGCAAACATCGGGTGCGGGTAATTCACCCTTGTAAAATATCTAAACAATAAAAACATATTTAATAGAAAGCGTCTTAAAAACAATTTTCATTTATGAAGTTTCTGATTTTAATTCAGATTTCTTTCTAAAACAAGTAAAGTTTAATTAAAATTCTGATATAAAAATTAAGATTTTATTTGGTGTTTTATTAAAGGATAATTTAAATGTTTTAATTAAATTCTGATTCAAGACAAGTTTATTTTAGGTTGATTTCTGGTATGTTTAATTAAAATTCTGATTTTAAAATGTTTAATTAAAATTCTGATTTGAGAAATGTTTAAATAAAACTCTGATTTGAAATAAGTTTTATGTTTTACCTGATATCTAAGCATATTAGGCGCGGAACCAACAGCTGCTATTAATATCGCTGCAACAATTGAAAAAGATGCAGCCTTATAAGTATTTAAACGAGGCCAATTTCTCGACGAATTTGAGCTGCTTTTTAACACAAGATACCTTTAAAAATATATTTTTTGTTAATTATTTTTGTAAAATTTTAAATTAATTCACCTTAAAACAGCCATATTAACAGTAATCCAAAGAGAAGCAGAGTGAAATAAAACCGAAAAAAGAGCATAAGAATAGGTGAACACAATCCAAGTAAAGGTAAAATAAAGTGGATGACAAAGTTCAATCTAAAAATTAATTAGAAATTTAGGGAAAATTTTTTTGAGTTTTTTTAGTAATTGGAAATTTAACAAAATTAAATTATTTAATAAATATTTCGGCAATCCAGGAGAATTGGGGTCCCTGCGGAAAAAAATCTTAAAAATAAGAAAAAGGATTTTTCTAGAGTAAAAAAATATGCTGATTACGAATCTGAACTCGGATTTTGGAAAAGTCGAATCCGAACCCGAATATAGGTCCTCGAATATCGAAAACCCATAGGGGGGACCAAGCTGATTTGGGGTGAAAAATTCGAATATGCAAATTATACCTCATTCGAAAGAGCTCTTCAAGCTGAGTCGAATGACACCGAAATTACCGTGATTGAACGAGATCGGACGAAGTTATACCACAAAAAACAAACAACGTAGGCCTATGTTTTTTTTGTCATAACTTCGCCTGATCTTGATCAATTGCGATGATTTTGATGTCATTCGACTCAGCTCGTCTAGCTCTTTCGAATGAGATATTATTTGACCAATTTACGCTCTGTTTATTTTTCGAAATTTTTCCCAAAATGTCAAATATCCGAATTTCGGGTTCGGGATTCGACTTTTCCAAAATCCGAGTTCAGATTCGTAATCAGCATATTTTTTTACTCTAGAAAAATCCTTTTTCTTATTTTTAAGATTTTTTTCCGCAGGGACCCCAATTCTCCTGGATTGCCAATATTTCCGAAACAAGTTTTAGCAATAAAGTTTTAATCTATGAAACAAGTTTTGTTTGTTAGAATTTATTACGAAGAAATTCTGATTTTAAAAATGTTTTTAAGTCTAATTCTGATTTTCAGAACAAGTTTAAAACAATTCTGATTTTAAAATTTGTTTAATGTTTTTATTAAATTCTGGTTCCAAAACATGTTCAAAATAAATTCTGAACAAAGTTTAATCTTTTAATTCTGACAGAAATTCTGATTTTAAAACATGTTTTAAGTTTAATTCTGATTAAGTTTCAAAACAACTTTTAGGCATTCTGATTTTAAAATTTGTTTAATGTTTTTATCAAATTCTGGTTCCAAAACTTTAATGTTCAAAACAAATTCTGAATAAAGTTTAGTTTTTTTGTTATAAAATTCTGACAGAAATTCTGAAAAAGTTTTTAAAAACCAGAATTTTAAATAAACTTTTACTTGTTTGTAAATAAAATAGGAAGCCATAAGCGACATATCACAAATTGCAATACCAATCAGAAAAAGGTTGAAAGGATTTTTTCTCATTGTAGGCCTTTAAATTAATTAATTAATTAATTAATTAATCAGAATATTTTTAAATACCTTAATAAAACAACAACAACACAAATATTAGCAATAACCCCCAAAATACAAATTGTTTGATAAATTATTTTATGAAAAGAGTCATAACGTTCCGAGAGGGAGGATAATAACTTGAAATTGAAAAAAATATTTTTTTAATTAAATTATTTTAATTTTTATTAAAATTTAATTTTATTATCATATTAATAATTAATTAATTTTTAAATAATTAACTTAAAAATTAATTATTTTAGGTAATAAAATTATTTTTTTGTATTTTATTTTTTAATTAATTTTTAATTATTTTCTTTATTTATTTTCATTTTTTATTTTAGAATTTAATACCTCTGTATAATATATTTGGGATTGCTTAACACTTTCTTCATCCAAATCTGTACAGAATCCAGACATTATTTAGAATAATAAAATTTGGAGTTAATTTTATTTTAAATATAGGAATTGAAAAAAAATATTTTTTTAATCTAAAAATTAATTTTAAAATATGAAATTTAAAAAATAAATTCGAAATATTTTAAGATAAATTGTGTATTTTTTGTTAAAAGAAAAAATAATCCCATCTAATTAACAAAAGTAGATAGGAAGGTTGGAGGGATTTATTTTTTGTCAACTTTTAAATAAAAATTAAATTTATTTTTGTTTTTGTTTAAATTCAATTCGCTTCAATGAATTTGACTATTTTTATAAAAAATAAAATTAGTTACTCTCATAGTCCATCTAATTAATGTAAATGGATTGGAGGAACAGGACGTGGATATATAGTGGATTGCCTAATTAAATAAATATATTTTTTGTTTATTTATTTATAGAAGAGATTGAAGGGGCTAGTCGGGTTCAGTAGTGGCTGCAATGAGGGTCTGATTTTGATATCTAAAATAAGTACAAAATGGTCAGCCAAAAATACCTTAAGGTGCGTGTAAAAAAGTGTGTTGCTGAGGTCTGATTTTTTTCGATTTAGACAAAAGGATGGAATTTGAAAATAATAGATATTTTAAATAAAAAGTATGATTAAATTAAAATTTAAATTAAAAGAGGACAATAAAAAATACAGATGTGCTCAATTAGTATAAATTTACATTTTTGGAAATTAAATCTATTGGGAATTTGATTTATTTTTTTTATATTTTAGAAGTTCTTTTAACACATTCTTGTTGTATATCCATGTGTCTACTATTGTACTTTTTTACTAAAAAAATTTTATAAAATTAAAAAAATTTTTTGCACATAAATTATTTAAATATTTAACAATTAAAATAAATTTCTAAATTTATGAAAAAATTCTAATTGCTAACATAAATAGTAAGTGTGAGAAAATAAATTTTAAAAATAAATAAATTTAAAATAAATTGAGATTATAAGAATAAAACAGAAAATGCAAAAACTAAAATACGAAGGATGAAAATAAGAAAATACAAAAATCAGAATTTCAAATCAGAATTCAATCAAAAACAAAAATACAAGAACAGAATATAGGCTTAATAAATACATTTTATTAGAAATACAAAAACCAGAATTATTCTAAAGATATTCTGTTTTTGTATTTTTCCATTTATTTTTAAAATTCTGAAAATAAAAGAAAAATACAATTATCAGAATTTTAATTAAAAACGGAAAAATACAAAAATCAGAATTATTCATAGACAACATAAAGATACTTTAAATGAGCGTCATTTTGCACAACATTTTCTATTAAAAACTGAATAAAAAAAGAAAAAAAATGCATAAAAATATATTAAAATAGTAGCAAATATTTCCTCATTTATTCTTTTAATTTTAAGCTTTTTTTCGCATTTGACTCCTTTTTTATTTTTACAGGAAAAGGCTTGAAAAAAGAGAAAAATGCTAAAAATAAATTTAGAGACATTTTAATATTTACACGCAAATTAAGAATAATACATAATTTTTAATTTTTGCGGATAAATTTTTTTTGCAGAAATATTTTGCGGATTTTTTAGAATTTTCTTTTAATTTTAAATTATTCTAAATAAATATTCCAAAATTTTAATTTAAAAATATTTTTTCTCATATTTTAAAATGTTGCCATAAAAATAAATATTTTTTCTCCAAAAAAGGAAAAATGAAAAAAATTTAAAAAAAGAAACAAATAAATGATTAATGAAAAAATAAACTAAAAAAATAAAAGAAAATATTATAGGATTAAATTTAAAAAATAAATAGGTATAATTAATTATTCTAATCTTTGATAAAAAAATACATAAATTATTTAAAAGTGTTTTTTCTTAAATTGGAATCAGAAAAAAAGTCATGAGGTTTAAGAAAATACATCTGAAAACAATAAATAAAAAATCAGAATTTTAAAAGGATAAAATACAAAAATACAAAGATCAGAATTAAAAAGAATAACTAAATCAGAATTACAACAACAATGAAAAATACAAAGATTCAGAATAAAATAAAAAGGAAATAGGGAAAATCAGAAAATAAAAAATCGAAAATACATAAATCAGAATTAAAGAAAATAAATAGACTAAAATACAACGATAATAAAAAATACAAAAACCAGAATTTAATAAAAAATAAAATCAGAAAAAAGAATAAAATACATATGTATGTACATATTTAAATAATTAAAAATCAGAATTATCAAAAAAATACAAATTTGTTTAATTAAAATAATTAATGAAATTTTTTAACACTACATAAATGTGCTTCATTAAATTAATTTAACAATTTTAATTTTTATAAAAAATTAAAATTAATTCCCTAAATCAATAAAACATTTTTTTCATTTAATTTATTAAGCATGGAAGAAATTTGAGTTGAAAATTTTTTATTTTGAAAAAAGGGAGAGAGCAAAATGCCAACAAACAAAGAGAGAGGATAATGTAAATAGAAGCTGTTACAACAAAAAAAAAGCCTCAAAGCTTTTATGGTATTGTCTTTAGCAAAATATACTTATTTATTTTTGGATAACTACAATAATTTTTTGAAAATACAAACAGAAATGGCTTTAAATAAAAATCAGAATAAATATAGAATGAATAAATAGGAAGAAATACAATTAAATACTAAAATACAGGAATAAAACACATCAGAAAGAAATACAAAAATCAGAATTATAAAAGAAATACAAAAATCAGAATTATAAAAGAAATACAAAAATCAGAATTATAAAAAGAAAATACAAAAATCAGAATTATAAAAGAAATACAAAAATCAGAATTATAAAAAGAAAATACAAAAATCAGAATTATAAAAGAAATACAAAAATCAGAATTATAAAAAGAAAATACAAAAATCAGAATTATAAAAAGAAAATACAAAAATCAGAATTATAAAAGAAATACAAAAATCAGAATTATAAAAAGAAAATACAAAAATCAGAATTATAAAAAGAAAATACAAAAATCAGAATTATAAAAGAAATACAAAAATCAGAATTTTGTATTTTCCACATCTTATTCTGATTTTGTATTTTCTAATTCTGATTTGACTAATTTTTGTATTTTTTTCTTTCGTTCTATAACAATAACAAAAGTTGCAGAAATAAACAAATCAGAATTTGAAAAATACAGAAAAATACACATAGGTAAATAAATATAAACTAAACTAGAAACAAAACCAGAA